TTTAGAGTGCCCTAGGGAACTTGTGTCCACTAGGGTTAATTTGCTGTGTGATTGGGGTTGTCAGCAGGAAGAGAGGGGCACTGAGCTGCCTACTGCGGTTTGCCTGGCTTGAGCTGGAGGAAGGGGTGGGTGAATTGGAGCCACACTGCCTTGTACCTCACCCCCCACCCCCCGCCTTTCAGCTCAGGCCAGACAAATCCTAGCCAGCAGCTCACTCTGCTTCCCCCTCCCCCTTCTTCCTTCTATTCCTGCTGACAGCCCCAGATCTGGGGCGGATGGGGGAGGGGACTAAGGGAGAGGGGTGGCTCGTCAGCTATTGGCAGGCTCCTTGGGCTCTTGAAGGCAGGCTCAATCCCTCCTCCCAACTCAATGTCTGTTGGGTCTGGAGGAGGCGGTACTCTAATTCACTGCACTTTATGTAAAGCACCATGAGTTAGACCAGGGGCCTGCACATCTGTAGGTACCCTAGATGATCTTCTGAGGTCCCTTTCAACCTTAAATTTCTATGATTCTATGAATCACTGCCTCTTCAAGCTTTGGCTACTGGGTTTCTACAGACAGGAAAGATGATGAGGAATGATAAGACTGGTATACTAGGGACTTCTTCCAGATTCAGGGGAGTCATTGCCATTTGTGCTGAAAGCTGATGTTTGCATTTATAATGTATAAGTAAGCCTTCATCCTTCCTTCCCTGTGATGCTTCCCCACTGGCTTTCAGACAGACACTTCTGGCAGGGCAAGAGAATAAAGTGGAGGACATGGCAGTGTAACCCAGGTAGTACCTGCTTATGTACTCCCCTCTCCAGTCGAAGGGAAAGGTTAGCAGGGCAGGTGCACTGTGGGGTGAAACTGCTGACTGCACGCAGTTTCCCTCCTTCCCCTATAGAACCAAGCAAGAACACTGTGAACTTAACTATATACAGATTCATTATACAATAAGCCATAGGTTACATGCAAGGTAGCCCACGAAGGTAACCTCCAAACCCGGGAGCCCTCTCCTTCTTGGCTTCCCCTCCGGTAGTCAGTCTCACTGAGTGGGGAAAAATTCCTCTCCCCTGGGGGAATCGCCTTTCCTGGTAACTCATGCCTTCAGGAGTCTGGGGGGTCATCATTTCCCCAGGCAAGTTGCCTCCTTCTTCACCGAGGCCACAGCTACCTCGGGCTCTCTCTGGGCTGCCAGCCCACTTGGGGCCTCGTGCACCATTGCGTGCACTGAGGACTCTGCCTTTTGCCCAGTATTGGAGACTCAAGCTGCCTTGTGTGGCTGCAAGGTTTCGATCTACTCCCGGACTTTCCATGCAATGGTTTTTCACTGAGTGCCTGGCCTTATGCCAGGGGTTAGAGACCCAAACTGTCTTGCATGACTCCCAGGGTCTTGGTCTGCTCCTGGACCTAGCATGTACCAGCCTATGCACTACTGCCTGGCCTCATGCCAGAGGTTGGAGTCCCAAGTCACCTTGAGCAGCTCCCAGGGTCTCGGCCCACTCCTAGACCAAGTGAGCACTCTGTGTACCGAGTTCCTGGCCTCGTGCCAGGGTTTGGACACCTGAGCTGCCATAAGCAGCTCCTAGGGTCTTGGTCCCTCTCAGACCTGGTATGCACTGACCTGTGCACTGCTCACTGTGCTCCTTCATGGAGGGGCTAGGGGACGCGGCTATTTGCTGCTCCCTGTCCAGCAAGGAGTCTTCAGGCTCTTCAGGGCAACAGCTCTTCCCCACTGGCCAGCTTTGCTAGCTCTTCTTCACTCATCCTCTTCGCCATGCCTTGATGCAGCTGCCGGTGTGCTGGGCATGCTGCTTTTTTATCCCCTCCAGAGGTTCTTCCCCCAGATTGTAAAGGGGCCAATCAGGAAGAGGGGGTGTAGTCCTCAACCAGGTCCTCAACCAGCTCTTTGCCTCACCCCGAGGTAGGGGTGGGGCAAGCCTTTCCCCTGTCTCCACCTGATTGGTGGGAACACTCCACCAATCAGTGGGAGCCCTTCTGAGTCGGCAAACCAAGCTGTTACTGGCAAGTTCACCACAGCAGTAGAGAGAGTTTGCTGCTTGTCTGTCTTACCATCAGAAATTCACCTGGGGGTACTGCTGAAAACTGAACAGACAGGAACTTAATTTCACTATAAGGCTAATTGATCCACAGAGAATGTAATGTAACATTCATGGGAATACAATCTGCCTTGTCTTTTTTCTGCAGAAGGTTTTTGAAGGCTTCCATAGGGCTTTGCTTGAAAGTCTGATAAAGGGAGAGGTCCAGCTGAGGGTGCTAGGGAAATGATTGGCTATAGTCTTATGAGGAGAGCATTTACTTGCCAGGAGGGACATGCCAATTCAGTGCCCTTCAGGTTAAGGAAGCCCATGAACCTGGGTCTCTCGCATCCCAGGGTGAGTGCTCAATCAGTGAACAACAGGGACTGGCATTTCTTTCTCCGGCCATGTTTGCCACCTTTCTAGTTTCCAGAGGTGTTTAGGCATAAGGTAGGTGCTCAGTCCCGTCAAGGTAGGCAACCCTGGGCATGACCAGATCTTGAGGAGCCTAGGATACTTTACTGTTGTAAATGTAGGTGTTCACGTGCTTCCAGAATTAGAATGCTACTGAGCCGGGCTTTTGAGAATCTACATTCTGGGCTTAGGTGTCTGCATGGGCAATTAGACAAGACTCAGGCCTTTGCAACCTTCTGAGAATCTACCCCACATCAAGTCTTCTTCACTGGCCCATGTGTCAGGGCAGTAGAATGAAGGCTCCTCCCTGTTGCCTTCTCTTTCACTGCCTGACTTCACTGCAATATGAACAACAGTCACATACATCCCCAATTCCCATTTGAACTGTAAGTGACAATCGGGAGGCTGTGCAGGGAAGGCAGAGGGAGAGTCTTTTGCAAAGCCACAATCTAACCCTAACAAAGGACTAGACCAATAGTTCTCAACCTTCCTAGGCTCAAGGCAGCTCTTGTTAGATTCAAGGCACCCCTCAGAAAATGCTAGTTCTTAGTTTTCACTTGTTCTTTGAGTAAAGAAAAATAATAGAGTAATATTTCTGTTGCAAAGACTTTGAATCACAACAGGGAACAATGTTTTTAACACTATGGGTTCCTATTTTAAATCTCTGGCACCGTGCATCTCAAGGTACTTCAGGGTGCCGCAGCTCTGGCCTAGACCATGAGCTGAGATGCTCTGATGAGGACTGCATGCAACATTCCAGGTAAGGTATGTTACTGGCATGTACAAAAGCAGCATAATATTTTCAGTTGTGTTCTCCATCCTGTTCCATCCACCTCCTAAATCAGTGGTGGCCTTAGGGTTGTTGGGGCCCTGGGCAAGACAGTCATTTGGGGCCCCATAGAGACTTAATTTTGATGACCTGTAAGCAAGTTGGACTTTTTCAATTTCACTTTATCTGATCCATGAAACTACAATGAAAGTATCTTAATACAATATTGATTATACAAGGAAAGGGTCTTTTAACATTGAGCTATATTCTAGGTTCATTCTAGGTTCCAAAATTTGGGGACCCCTAAAGTGTGGGGCCCTGGGCGGTCACCCAATTTGCCCTCCCGTAAGGCTGCTACTGCTAACATCTTGTTAGATTGTTTGGCCATGGGTGCACATGGCTTTCTAATCTTTACTGAACTGTCTATACTGACACCCAGATCACAACCCTGAGCTGATACAGTTAAGTTAGAGCCTTGTGAAAACTAGTTATAGATTTAATGTTTTTTAATGTGTTATTGTGCTTTTATCAGAATCTTTGTTTCATTTTCACTTCTCTCAGGAGGAACTCAGTATTTGGCAAGATCAGGCCCAGTATTTTTGTAATGCTCTGTGCACTGTTGGTTGTTCCTCAGTCTCTCGTTCTGTGTTACCTGCTTATTTTCCACATTTCTATTGCCTTGGTATCTAAGCTTCATCAGTAGCAAGGTCAGAAAACAAATGCCATATTGCTAAACCAGTTTGCTAAACAGAGTGCAGTAGCCACAGCAACTGCAAGGTACAAATCCTAGGTGGTAATGTTTCTTTTTGGTTTTTAGACTGACCTAGAGCAGACATAGATTGCTGCTCTTCCCAAGGTACACCAAGCCACAGCATACCTGGTAAGTCACGATACTGGGGAATTTCAAGTTGTGGAGGGTGTGAGTCATGAGCTGGTGAGTGAAAGAAGCAGCAGGATAAAAATAACAGAACACAGTATGATTTTTCATATGAATCTGTTTCCCTGTGTTATCCTTGCTTGTATTACACATGACATTACATCAGCCAACGAATACCACAATGCATAAAACAGATCACTGCATGCTATTCTGAAACTATCTTCTTTATGATGCCAGACTGGTTATGCTTTTGATAAATTTCATAAGGCCAGTTGAAAAGTCTTGATAATACAAAATACCATTTTTTCTTAAAAGAGCACAAACATATTTTCCAAACATGTTTGCATCACTTAAGATTTTCATGTTTTTAACAAACATTTTCAAAGCAAACGTTTTTGTTTTGGTTTCAATTGATTGGATTGGAAATAATTTGTTTCATTGTTTTTCTTGTCTTCTTTCTTCCTCTTCTGCCCCACCCATTTTCTCAGGAGAAGAATGGGAAAGAAAAGAGGAGAAAAATGCAACACTGAAGAAAAAACATCTATTTAATGTGAATCACCACAAGAAAAGATTATTTTAGACCAACTTGAAATTATTTTGTTTCTGGTGGTGGTGGTAGCTTAAGATCATGGGAAAATAGAGCTGGAAGAGATCTCAGAAGGTCATCCAGTCCAGCTCTCTGCTCAAGGCAGGACCATCCTTAACTAAACTATCCTAAAACTGCCTGTCCAACCTGCTCTTGAAAATTTCTAGGGATGGAGAGTCTGCAGCCTCCCTTGGTACCCTTTTCCAGTGATTAACCACCCTCATAATGCAAAAGTTCTTCCTAATCTCCAACCTAAACTTCCTCTGGTGTAGTTTGAAGCCATTGCTCCTAATCCTGTCCCTATGGTCGTGGAGAAAAGCCCATCTCCATCCTTTCTGTAGTTGCCCTTCAGGTATTTGAAGACTCTTATCAAATCCCCCTCAGTGTCCCCTTTTTCAGATTAAACAATCCTTGTTATTTCAGCCTTTCTTCATTAGTTTTATTTTCCAGGTTTCTGATCATAATTGTCTCTCTCTTGTGGACTTTTTGGCTGAAGCAATTTGTTTCATCAACACTTCAGAGGAGGAATGAGATTCTCATTTGTGCCAAATGTTGACCTTGATCAACTCTCAAAATCAAAGTTAGGCTATTACCAAACACTTCTGAAAATTTCCAACCAGAATCTCCACCATTTAAAAAAATGAATTTTACCTTACAACTCCTAACCCTTTTCTACACTGGAGATAACAATTTTAAAATCTCATCCAAAATCATTTTCAGTTTTCCTACCCACGTTTCCCTTTACACTCTGTGCAAGCATGCACAGTTTTACTCTACATAGGCACTTGTAAGAAAGTTAAAAGCCATTGCATATATTTACTAAAATAAAATATTCATGGTCATATGGGGGCCTAAAGATGTATGTAGGCATCTAGTGGAATTTTCAAAAGCACCAGAATACCTGTGCATGGCATTCTCTAGCCCTAAATGCTGTAATTACATAGTCTCAATGCTTTGTTGTTCAGAATGTGAATTACAAATCTTTGGAAATGCTCTCCTCCTCCCCCCATCTCTTTCAGCTGTGTGACAGGGTGGGACATTTGTAATTTCTCTGAGAGTGGCTGATGTCCAACCAGGTGAGAATGACATTAAGTATTATTCAGTTTCATCTGAGTATGCGAATTGGAGACCTTGTAAGATGTGGGCCTATGTTTGCAATCTCAACATTTTTCTTCCTTTTGGGCCCTATTAAAAATGTCTCAGTTGAGCCTAATGAGACAAAACTACCATTAATAATCCCTTTTCTTCTTTTGTTTTTCAGAGGCTGCCTAGGAAATTGTTTGGGGAATCTTTAAAAAACTGATCTTGCATTGCTTTTTAATTTTTTTAAAAATTTGTGTGTGCACCTATTTAACTTATTTTTTGTCATGCATTTGTATTTTCAGATTTATAAACATAAATGGTTATTATTTAACTTATATTTATGGCAAAATAATGAAAGGTATGGTAACTGTTGCTGTATGTCTACAGAATACTTTGTTTATTGTTTGGCGGCCACTGTTTTGGTTCAGCTGCTCCTTCCTTGATCGTATCTAAGTCCCAAAAGGTTTTGGAGCTGACTCCCTGCGAGAAAATATTTATAGTCTACATTTTCAGAATGCAAGGTTAAAGACTGAAAAATACTTGTGTATATAGGCCTCAGGCCAACTTGTGAAGTTAGTGACCATCTCTCCATTAGAAATGGTCATTTCACCAATGTAACTACAACATATGTTTCCAAAACTTTTGCCATAAATTTTCTTAGTAAAGTTGGGAAGAAAAAAAAAAGCATCTCTTTCCTCTAGCATATTTGTGTGTGCAAGTGTGTTAGGAGAACTTTAGTTCAACAGGAGAACCAGTTGGTTTCTGAGGCACTGATATGTTAACTGGTTTGCTCATAAAGTAAAGTAAAATAACTGTGCATCATTCTGTATCTAAGGCATAGCTCTGTGTCTGCTGTTAATCCTGAAGGCTACAGCTTTAGTTGCTTGATGGAGAACCAGTTGCATTTCTCTTGGTCTCAGGTAAAAGTCATTGGGAAGAGACTATCACAGAGATTTGAGCTAACGTGAAAGGCTGCTTCCTGTTCTCAAACTGTCTTTGGACAGAAAATTTTATATGGAAAAACTTTCACCTAGCAGCTAGCTTTGGATTTGCCTGAATTTCTCCTTCCACAGTAACTGCATTTTGTATTGTTTGGAATTTTTTTGGATTAGGATTTTTGGAAATCTGCTCTGTTGTGATGTTTCTGTCAGAGAAAGAAATTATTCTATGTTATAAAAGAACAACACGCTGAGGTGCTGTATCATTTAGAAAGAAGTTCTGAACTTGCTCTCAGACCCAAGGAGCCACATTAATGACTGTGCTATTTTGGCTTTTGTTTAGAAATATATGAATGATTGTCTTTAGTTCATCTGTTCCCTTCTACTAGTGCTTTTGTCAAAATTATTAATAATGGACACAGTATTTCTTTTACTGACATTTATTTATTGTCACTGTATCCATAAGAAATGTGAAGTCTATGACTTCCTATGATTCTTAGTCCCTGGAGTAAATCTTTCAAAGCGTAGCATAATAGTACTATACGTAAGAGTCTAGTACACATCTTAATATTAAGCTAATGTTTTGTGTGGCTTTGATTTGGGCATTCCTTTATTTTTTTCCTGTTAATATTGATATCTGGGAAATATGGACCACCTGTATTTTTATGCTTCTCTCTCTCAATTTCCCCCCTCTCTTTTAATTCAATAAACTGGTGTTTTTTGATTTTCTCTCTTAGTTCAACATAAATAGCTTCTCTGGTTCCTCAAATTATTGTTTGGGAACTTCAGAAGAACTTCAAAAGAACACCAAGTAAAGGGAAGCTGGATTTCAAAGTTGCAGATCTAATGCAATTTTAGGTAATGGATGAGATGATCAGATTGATCTACATTCTAAACTTTAATATTCATATTGGTGCCTGCTGCTTTTTCTTTTTAAACTTGAACGTGCCTTCGGGCGCATAAATGTTGGGAACCACTACACTAGAGCTTGTCTGAAGTAGGGTTTGGTGCAATACAGTGAGAAGGCAAATTATCCTTAAATAAATTTTGAAAAGTAGATTTTTTTTAAAGGCACCAATTGGCTATAACACTACACACCGTGGGCCAGTACAGAAGGGGTGTAAGCAGATACAAAGTAATGGAGTTATACCCATTTATATCAAAACTGATTTTATCTTGCATGTATGCTATATCATAGATCATTCCAGCTCAGTGCTGTCTGTATGAAGTCTCAATTATTCAAATGACCACAATTTTGTAGACTGGAAGGGTGCTCCAATAGGTAAGACACTAAAGTAGGACTGGGAAGACCTGGGCTTAGTTATCTGCTCTGCTATAGATTTCTGTGTGGGCAAGTCACTTAACCCCTAATCTTCAAAGGTAGTTATGTGTCTGACCTTTTGATTTCACTGGTAGTGAAGGGACAAAATGCCATTGAATAGGTAGTTCTTATGCATGCTCTTCACTTAATTTTTTTCCTCTGTAAACTGGAGGAATAGCAGTTCCTTGTCTCACAGAGATGCTGTGAAGAGAAACACATTAAAGATGAGTTGCTCAGATACTCTGTTGATAGCCTGGGGCCCTTATTAGTAGCATAGATAGGAAAGAGAGGCCATCAAGTGGCCATCAGATACAGCTGCTTTAATTAGAAGAACATGAAGCACTTGCTGTCACTGGGGGATGAAGAGAGGCAGCATACAGCTGTGCCCGGCCTAGCCCCTGTTTGGGGAATGCAGGTGGGTTGTGTTCCTCCATTTAAAGAGAAACCAATGAAAGGTAAAGGAGTCACAGAGGAAGGTGGAAGATAAGCTTAAAGGGATGACTCTTCAAGGATTGGGTAAGTGGAATTGTTTTCTGGCCTGAATATAATCCTGTGTAGGATCTGGCTCGGCCATTTTGGAGAGGTGCCATAACATAAAGATATCCATATTCTTAGCTGGTATTAACTGGTAGAACTCTGGTAACAATCATGGATCTGTGTGGAGTTCTGCCAGCTGACCAGCTGCCTGCTTATTTTCACTTAGCAGAGACATGCATCTACCAAACACAACTCCTGAAAGAGACCTCTTCTAACTGAAACAAAATGAGTATTGTGACCTGATGAGTTAGTGATCTAAGTCTTAGGACTTCAGCACAAGTCAGATGGAAGCTAAACTTTTCTTCTGTGACAAATTGCATCCTTGATTTTTACAGCACTCCTTTTTGTTGTGAGTAAAGACTGAAGTCCTGATTTTGCAGTATTCTTCAGTCCTACCTGTGTGACATGACTAAGATTATCCATGTACCTAAGGGTATTTTGTACCCAAACCTCATCTAATATCTCTGCCAATTATATAGTTGGGAGACATAGTTAACCATGTTAGTATGAAGTCAAGTAGAAGGCTGGGTAGACTTGCACTTTATGGACTAACTAAAGTAAATACATAGATACCTTAATTAGTCTATAAGGAGCAAATTCACCCTGGCTTCAACTACACAGCTGGTCCAATAACTGGTATCACCAAATGAATCTTAGTTTATCTCAGACCAAGTGTTTGTAACTCTTAGGTGGAGATTCAACTTTTCATGACAGGTATGCTAGCAGGAGAAACTCAAGGCTGCTGTGCAGAAGAGGCTGCATATCATCACAATATCCCTTGAGAGCCTGTTCCAGGGCCAGCTGAAATCAATAGAGTTTTTCCAATGGGGTTGGGATAGAACCTTGCTGGAAAGCAAGAATTCTAATATAATAAAAACATTATTTTAGTCTGTATGTATGTATGTCTGTCTGTCTGGTGGTGATTGGCTGGGCGGCCCAAACTGCACAGGCCCAAGTTTGCTCTGCTGCCGGTACAGTTTGCCAGCAAGGTAGTGAGGAGGCAGGTGGACGTGGGCCAGGCAGACCTGAAGTGGTGGGGAGGAGGGGGGGGGAGTGGGGTCAGACCTGAAGCGGCGGGGGGGAGGG